AGACCGGATTTGGCGTAACTTTTATTGGCCTACAATTCGCAAAGATGTTTCCCATTATTGCAGAACATGCCACACATGCCAAATGGTCGGTAAGCCTAATCAACCTCCTGATATTGCTCCATTAATACCCCCCCTTTGATGCTCCATTCCCAGAGTGGTTATTGATATTGTTGGCCCTTTACCTAAAACTGCAACAGGATATTCTTATATTCTTACTATCATGGATATGGCTACTAGATATCCTGAGGCTGTTCCTCTCAAAAATACCTCAGCTAAAATAGTAGTAAGAGTTATTACAGTTCTTCACAAGGTTTGGCTTACCTAAAGAAGTGCAGTCTGACCAGGGATCAAATTTTATGTCCAAAGTTTTCAGACAGTCCCTCCGGGAACTAGGTATTGAGCAGATCACTTCCACTGCTACCATCCTCAGAGTCAAGGTGCCATAGAACGTTATCATCAAACTCTTAAAAGTATGATTACAAAATTTTGTACAGAAAGTCACAAGGATTGGGATAAAGGCTTGCCTTTCTTGCTTTTTGCTACTAGAGAAACACCAAATGAATCCTTGGGGTTTTCTCCATTTGAGTTAATGTTCACCCACGAGGAGAGAGGACCATTAAAATTATTAAAAGAAGAGTGGCTTGGTATGGATGAGAATGTAGGACTTTTATCTTATGTTAGTGACTTTAAAGAGAAGCTGAACCGTAGTTGGAAAATTGCTAGAGATAACTTGGTTTCTTCCCAAAAGAAAATGAAGAAATGGTACGATAAGAAAGCGAGAATGAGGGTTCCAGCCAGGTGATCAGGTGTTGGTTCTGCTTCCCATACATGGTCAACCCTTACAGGCAAAATTTAGTGGTCCATATTTGGTAAAGCAGAAGCTGAGTGATGTTAATTATGTTGTTTCCACCCCAGATAGGAGAAAATCCAGTCGACTATGTCACATAAATATGTTAAAACCATACTACCAGGGATTCACCATGCTCCAGTGTGTGCAGTAGCTCTAACACCCACAGAAGATGAAGATAATGCTTGCCCGCCAACATTGGAGATGACTGGGACCTGGGAGAAGAACACTAACGCCTGGACCAAGGTATCAGATAAGCTCACCCATCTAACAGCAGAGCGGAGAGAAGAATTTGTCTCACTCTTGTCTCGGTATCAGGATGTATTCCGGGACTCACAGGACTTACAACATTAGCAGTGCATGATGTGAATGTGGGGGATGCTGCACCAGTGAAGCAGGCGCCTTACCGTGTAAATCCAAATCGTCTTGCCCCTCTTCAACAAGAATTGATTATATGTTAGAACATGGACTAATTGAAGCTTGCCAAAGTGAGTGGTTTCACCTGTGACTCTAGTGCCCAAGTCTGATGGGGGATATCGATTTTGTATTGATTTTAGGAAAGTCAATGCTCTGACTAAGACAGACACATATCCGTTACCAAGGGTGGATGAGTGCATCGACAAAGTGGGAAGTTCTAATTACATTAGCAAGTTTGATCTACTAAAGGGATATTGGCAAGTTCCTTTGACTGACCGAGCTCAGGACATTTCATGTTTTGTTACTTTGGGTCAAACTTATAAGTGTAAAGTGATGCCCTATGGTATGAAAAATGCTCCTGCCACTTTTCAGAGATTGATGAACACTATTACTGCAGGAATCAAAGGCTGTGTAACTTATATAGATGATGTGGTTGTCTACAGTGATTCTTGGAAGAACATATCTCTGAAGTTGGAGAACTCTTGAATAGATTCTCAGTGCTAATCTTGTTGTAAACCTCGAAAAATGTGAATTTGTTAAAAGCCCAAGTACAGTATCTTGGGTATGTAATTGGACAGGGATCAGTAGCCCCACCACTGGCTAAAGTTGAATCTATATGTCGGTGTCCCAGACCTCAGAATAGGAAAGAAATTACAAAGATACTTAGGTATGATAGGTTACTATCGTATGTTTATTTTAAATTTACAGAAGTGGTAGCTCCCTTACTGATTTGTTGAAGAAAGGTATCAACTTTGAGTGGAGTAAGGAATGTGAACTAGCATTTGATCAAGTCAAAGCTATTCTTCTAATTCCCCTGTATTGCAAGCTCCTAATTTCAGTAAGCCCTTCAAATTGGCTGTAGATGCAAGTGATGTTGGTGCTGGTGCCGTCTTATTGCAGGAAGATGACCAGGCCATTGATCACCCAGTTTGTTACTTTAGTAAGAAATTTAATTCAGCCCAGAAAAATTATTCTACCATTGAGAAAGAGTTATTATCACTTATACTTGGTCTTCAACATTTTGCTGTTTACCTTAATCCTTCTGGCCATGAAATTACGGTGTTTACTGACCATCATCCCCTCAAATATTTGAACAAGTTTAGAGATAAAAACCAGCGATTAACTAGATGGAGTTTATACTTGCAAGAGTTTCATCTTAATATCATTCATATAAAAGGGAAGGATAATGTGATTGCAGATTGCTTGTCACGACTTTAAGATATTGTTGAAACAAAAATTTCATTGTAAATTTTTCTTCTTAGAAAGGGAGGTGTTAGCCACATGTTAGGACAGTTCGCGGCATTTTTCCTTCAGCCAAGGAGAGGCCACCTGGATGTCTGTAGGCTCTCAGCCAATGAGAGGAGTTGACACTTTCACTCTCTCCGCGCTCTCTCTCAGGCGCAAGCGTCTCTTTGTTCTTCCCCCCTTTTTTGTGTTTATCATCACCTTATTTCTAGATTCAAGGAATCCCAGTACTTAAGTATAAGTTTTATGTGTTCTCAGATATATATAGGTCTGGTTAGGATAAGTGTTTGAATCTGTTTAGTGGTGTATTTTTTACGAAATATCCTATTGCATGTAAATTATTTCTTAGGGTTGCATTTATCTGTTCGTTTGTTCTTACTACAAGGGCCCTGGATTCTGTTCTATTACTTTGATGTCATTCATGGAGTTAAAAAACCTTGTTATCTTAGATCTTCAGTAAAATAGGAATAAACAGCATTGTTTATTTTAACCGTTGCGTAACAATATATATATATATATAAATATATGTATATAATATATATATTATATAATAGATAAATGTATATGTATATGTATGGTGTGTGTGTGTGTGTGTGTGTGGTATATATATATATATATATATATATA